GTAGCACCCCGAATCAGTTTTCGCAAAGTAAAAGGCATTATTTTTAAATAACTTTGCGAATTTCTCGCACTCTGATCTAACGATAAGGAGGGGTGTTACAATTTCGCTGAGGGCATCTTCCCGGGTCACGGCCGTCTTCCGGTGCAATGACCCGCCCCTGAATCAGGACTCGACCCCCATAAATCGATACTTCTTCGCACAGAACTACACCAGGTTCGTGGGCTGCCCCGGGTTCGTGGTGTTCTATAGGTCGCGGAGAACTGGTCGGATGGCGAAGAAGTTGGCGTGCCGGAAGCGTGCGAGGCTGTGGTGCTGCCGCTCGGGGGTTCGAGGAATGTGTTTGGTGTATTTGGGGGGTTGAGTGGGGAGTTTGATGTGGAATGGAATCAGGGGCAGATCTAGCAAATATAGTGAGTGGGGGCCTAACTATATAATTAAAAGTACAAATAAACTTAATGAAAAAGGTAAATGCAAAAACGGTCAAAGCTCTTATCAACAATATAGTTCTGCAACTGATCCTCAAGAATGAGAACATCGAATATCGAAAAGTCTTGAGGATAAAACCTGATCATCTTGACTAATTTCCGCATTGATACCAAATTTCTCGTATTACATTCTTTCTACCCAAAGATACTAGAATTTTCCTCAAATCAAATTGGATTCAATGTATCTTCTTTTGAGATATTTTCTCAAGATTTTGTTGACATGAGCTTTTTTGAAAATATCTCTCAATGTCTGATATGAAAAAATAATATTATAAATTTACAGTAAAGAAAATTCTTTATTTTGACATATTACACTTTAAATAGTTGTAAACCTAAAAAGGGCTTGATTGTGCAATTTTTTTTCATAAAAAGGATATATTTACCACTATCTAAAAAATAAAGAAGAGTAATTTTTATCTTTACTAAAATAAACATAAAGAATTTTGTTATCTTGTAAGTAACCTTCTTATATAGCTGGACCAAAATTTGACGAACTCTTTGACTTTTTCATTTTCTCCTTATTTTCCCCTCTTTTTGTTTCCATCTGTATTTGTCTGCTGATCTCTGCACTCTTTTATCTTGTTTAATTATTGTGTTAAATGTTTTATCAGCTTATTTTATTAAGCATATTTATTAGTCTCATATGGGCTAATAGTAATACAAGGAGTTTAGTGTTTGTGAGTTGGACAATTTTTATTTGGCTCATAATACAAGGAGTTTAGTCTTTGTGAGTTGGACAATATTTATTAGGCTCATAAGGCATAATTAGTATTTTGGCTAAAGTACACGAGGACGATTGTTTTTTATTGATTTCACACATTTACGAGAGTGAAAAGTTATTATCAGCTTTACGTTTTAAAACTTAATTAATTCCAACAACGTCATCACACGCTGTTAATGACCCCAACAATTACACGTGTTATGACCCCAAGGTCCCCAACAATATCATCACACGTGTTTTAATGACCAACTCAGGTAATTAACTCATATTCTAAGTGCACTAAATTGTTAACTTCTAAAATTAAATTTAAATATCGTTTATTTTAATTTTATCTTGAGTTTATGAACCAATTTTCTTACTAAAATTTATATCTAGAGTATTTTATTGAGTTTATGAACCAGTTTTCTTACCAAAATTTATGTCTAGAGTATTTTAAATTTATTGTAGTTTTATAAACCATTACAAGAATACAGACGATAAATTTATAAATAGTTTATTTTCAATTTATTATACAAGATAAAAAATATATGGAGTTTATTTTTAGTTTATTATAGTTATAAAATTAATAGCTTAATACACACAAAATGTAGATTTATATATGTATGATTTTTAGAATACAAACTAGTGATAAACATCAATTAACACTCAAAAGCAAAAAATAAATCATTATTCAAGCTCCCAGCTTCAAGAAATCAGAGATAAACGACAAATTAACACTAAAACTATATTTTTTTTTTTCCAAAAAATTAACACAG